AAGGGGAGAACCTGTCAGAGATTTCAGCTCACCTAATCGGTATGACCTGACCTTCGGGATCAGCTAATAGAACATGGCCCCGACTGGACTCGATAGACAACACCCAAAGTGGTACTTTGAACATCAAAAGCAAACCTGGTGTGGCAGAACACATTGCCTACCAAAACAAACCAACGAACCCAGACCAAACGAGAACAATGCCCATCAACATGGCACTCAATTGTCAGACAGGCCTGATTCTGACTGACGAGATCCGTACAAAATCCTCAGATTCAAAATCACAAACAGTCTGCACGAGGGTGAGGACTTAGAAAAGATCCTTAAAAAAAGTCTCTTCTCCCCCTAAAGTCTCCATGAACATACCCGCGAACACTGCATCCCTTCATCTGAGCAGCCTAGTTACACCATTAGGTGAATCTCCTCGGCCCTGTGGCTTGGAAGGAAAAAAGTAAAAGCCGAAGGAAACTTTTCGAATGATTGTCCTTCTGGCTTCTCTTGAAACACAACATTCGGCAAGGCAAGCTGTTTGAACATATTTTTCAGCACCTTGATCCCTGATTAGGAATAAGTAGGAAGCAGGTTAATAAAGCCTACAAACAGTGGAAATTATCGACAGTCTCAGAATAGCCTCAGAATTAGTCAAGATATTTTTCATTACTTCAAAAGACCACCTGCCAAGTTTCATCGCGATCAGACATGTCTAAGGCAGTGAATACAAAGAAATAATTTCAACGAAATCGTTCTCTAGCACCCTAAAATGGACCCTGTAACTAGAGCCATAGTTTTGGTACTTCAAATAGCTATGGTACCACCTTCATTAGATCCAGCATGATCAAAAACCCTTATTGGTCAAGTTTCGGCTTAATCGGGCACTCCAAGAAAAAGTTATGCATAAAATACCGAAAAAGGTAAGCCGCACATTATTCCCGTGTGGCCTCACTCCATCAAAACAACATTAAAGGTGGTTGTTTTTACAGTCACGGGTAGCCAATTTCAGGACCTATAACTCACTCGTTCTAAGTCGGATCGCTCCCAATTTTGGTGAGCGTGTTCGTCTCATCAAGATGAGCAATTCGATATGTGGTATGCCCCATGACAACGTCTGAGCAGAGAGGAAAAAACTAAATGAAAGTTGCTGATCTGTGAAGGAAGTTGCAGAAAATTCAGCAGCAACACGCTTCGTTCGAGCTGCCAGATCGTGACGCTCGCATACGCAATCGGCACGAAACCAATTGCATTATGTGCGTGAGGTCCGAGGCTATCTCTGGTCCGAGCCTCGCGTACAATGAACGGTTGGATTTCACACACGAAGGCATCAATACTGCCATAAATTTCGGCAACCGAAATTCAAGATTTCGGTCAAAAAAGATAAAATCTTCGTCCGGACAGGAAATTAAGCTACGTTTGTTGCAACGTGATCATGACGGCATGTTTAGTGTGATTCAACGAATAAATCACAAAGAAACATCATGGAGCGAGCACACAATCGATCCGAAGTTTTCAAGATTCATCCAAAATTCAAGTCTCATGATCATGGCTCAAAAACATGATTCATGGCTTGAAGTTGGTATCAAAACGATTGCCATGCCGAGCCCTACAATAAAATAATAATATTTCTATCAAATGGGCATCAGAACACCCTCGGGTCATCCATGAAAGATCACGCAAGTTCTCGTGCAGTAGTAGGGACTGTTCTGGAATTCCACACATTGTTAGGCAGGGGCACTTTTGCACCCGTTTTTAGACTTTCTTTAAATTCAATTAAATTTTAATTATCTTCAATTCTAGCTAGTTTTTGGGCGTCCACCCATGTTTGGGCCCAATTTTATATAAACATGCAAAGCTAAAGTGTAAAGGACCCTCGGTTCATTCTTTGATCGTTCAATAGAAATTTCCATTTTTGCTTGAGCATGTGAGTACGTCTTGGAGAGAGAGACAGGATAGAGAAGAAAATGATCGGTACCCTTCAAGCAGGTAAATTTCTCTCTCCTCCCCTCTTTTTCTCTTTTTCTCTCTTTGTCTCTATCTCTTTCTCTCTCCTCCTCTCTTTCTCAACTCTATCTCTTTCTCTCTCTTCTTCATCTCTATCTCTTTCTCTCTCCTCCTCTCTTTCTTATCTTTATCTCTTTCTCTCTCTTCTTCGCATCTCTATCTCTTTCTCTCTCTTCTTCTCATCTCAATCTCTTACTCTCTCTTCTTCTCATCTCTATCTCTCTCTCTTCTTCTTTTCTCTATCTCTCTCTCATCACAACTAGCGCAGGCCTTACGTCGGTTGGTTCTCTTCTCTCTCTCTTCTTCTTTTATTCCCAGCATCGGGTGGGATTTTCTCTCTCTTTTTCTTTTATTCCCAACATCGGGTGAATTTCTCTCTCTTCTCTTCCCTCTCTCCACTTCTAATGCAATCGGTGACGCCTAGCACCGGTTGGATTTCTCTCTCCTCTTTTCTCTCTCAAGTGGCGAAGTCTAGCACCAGTTGGATTTCTCTCTCTCTTTCTCTCTCTCTCTCTCTCTCTCTCTCTCTCTCTCTCTCTCTCGTCGTCGTACGTCGTACGTACGTACGTACGTACGTAC